CTTTTCAGGGGGGGGGGGGGGGGGGGGCGTACTCATGTTTTGCATGCCTTCTTAGCGGTTAGACCATTGACCACGCCGCCTCGAGAGGACGGAGCATTGTTCCCACAAGACGGACCACCGAGGGGCAGTCGGTCCTTCCTACTTCGCCGAAGGTGGCCAAATATTGTTTCCCTTCCCTAGTATCTGTCCTATCGATATCACTTCCTGCCTTGTCAGCCCACTTCCTATGCCCTAGTATAACTACCGTCTTGTCCTGGCTATTCCATGCCTAAAGGATCCCTCTGTAACTTATGTACATTTAGTTCTGTCTCCTTTGCGTAAAACGGAAATTCTGCAACTACATGAACCCGGCCTTCCCACTCGAAACTGCATTCACGCTTGAAATTATCGTCGTCTTCTTCCACCTTCCCAAATCTTCGTCCACGTTTTCGGAGGCCAATGTCCCCAGTCCTAAAAATGATTTCATTTTTGTTCCTGCATCCATTGGCCCATGTATGCGTAAGTACTCCTTGAACCCTGTTCCTTCTTTCAATATTCCGTGCACATCTAGACCCTCCTTATCCTTGGGCTCTTTGGCTAGACTATTTATGTACAGACTTCTCTCGGCAAAAGCAACAGGTTATCTTTTTCTTGAACTCCTCGAGGTCTACCGTTTCCAACGTATCGAATTCGACAATCTCGAACTCCTTCCATACGTCCTCTACACCGTTTTTGCACTCCGTGGATTGTCACCCTTCTCTTGTTTCTCATTTCGCCTCCCAAGAGGGGGGCAAAATACATAAAATGGACAGTAAACATTCAACTCGTGAGAGTCCGATGAGAAAATACTCAGAAATTTCTCATGAGAACCTTCATTCTGACGCGCGACCACCGTAAGTAAGGTCTCGTTGAGACTCATGAGACTCTTATGAGATGGGTACAAGCACCATTACTGGGTCTCCATCTATGTCCTCCGAGTACACAAAAAAAAGGTTATACAATGTATGGAGCACTACAAGTAGAAATATGGTGAGCCGATCTCACGCAGTCCCATGAGATCATAATGAGAACGTCATGAAAAATTCCTGAAAAGAATGATGCTATGGCCGTGAGCGTCTCATGAGAACAAAGGTCGCCACAGTCGAGGCTTGCTCGTCCCAGGAGAGTCTCATGATACTTGTTTTGGTGTTGTTGCAGGGCGTGTGTGTGCGCGCCCCCGGTAGCTGAACTTGCTGCATTGCTAGTCGTGTTGGGCGATGGATGGCTCGGATCTACTTTCTGTCAAGGCGCTATATACAGGACAACGGGGGTCGACTGGAGGGACGGGAGGGGCGAATGCACTTTTACCCTTACGAGCACGCACGGCGGTTGCTCAACAACGCAGCATCAAAGCCCTTATTTGTGCGCGCCGTGATGTATTCGCGAAGCCACCTACCTCAATCCTTGGAGCAGATGTTCATAGTCCAACATTGATGAAACCGGACACGCATTGTTCTGGGGTTGACATACATTTCTCTCCCCGATGTCGTGAAGTTTACGGACGAGATCCATCCATCTCCCCGAGACCTGTCCAGTGTTGTCCTCCAAAGGCCGTTATTATTGTATAACATTGATATTTTGAGCAGGATGGAAGGGGATAAACCTCCACGGTAGTAATTCATGCATACGACCCTCATTGGTTGGCGTGAAGAGGTATTCGACAAGAATGATGCTCGAGCAAAACACAACAAACGTGTCGCTGTCGTCATCTCGTCGTGCCGGCATTGAACCTTGACCCTGAGCGATGATGGCGAAAGGGCCGGGTTATCTGCCGCGTGCATGTGGATGGATACCGTCTGACTTTAGTTGAATACGCGGAGGTTCTGCCCATGCGTTACCCCATAGCGACTGCCTGGTGCCACGCGTGAGATATTCCCCCGGGCACACCTTGTTGGGGCTGCGTTGTTGCTACCTAGAAGAGCGGCAGTTGCACATTTATTTATCGACTTGACGTCCAACAACAAGACGACCGTTCCTCTGTTTTTTCATGACAGTGATCCCCGGCATCTTGCCGTTCGCGCCCGTACGCGTCTCCCTCACTACAAGTATGCCCCTTTCGTTGGCTTGGTTGAAGACAACAAATGCCCTTGGGAGTAGGCGTGAAAGCGTTGGCCGTGCTATCGTGACGAGTGTTGTTCCCAATACAGTCTTTGTCCCTGAGTTTGGGAATGGTCCCTATTAAGGGAGAGTGACTAGGCGGGTCGCCCTGTAATATGGCAGGTGAGATCGTGCGACACGGATGGAAATGCTACTGAAGTTCGCCTTGTAATCTGGAGAGTGCCGGGTGCCCGGTATACGGCCGGCCACGTCGCTTGGCACTACAAAAAAAAACTACAGTAGTATTTACTGTAGTTTACTACAATGTATCAAAGAGAGAATCGAGAACAGAAGAAACTCAAATGGAAAAAATGGCAACGCAGCTTGCCTCGGGAAACCGTGCTGGTCCTCTAAGAGATCCTCGGTTCATATCTTTTTGAAGGTGCTGTAGAGAGCACGGACGAGATTAAGGTTCGCACACAACAACTCAATACCTGAACTGTGTGAAAAAAAACGCGTGCATTAACATCCTTGTTGCATCCTTTAGACGACGGTTTTGTCAAGAAAATAGTAAGCAAAGACGGACAACCATCGGCTAATACTAAATCTAATGTAGAGAGTACAGACGAGAAAAGATTCGCATATTCATACTACCACAAGCAATCGGTGCTGCGTGCAAAAGTACGCGCGCTTTTTTTTCTTGCTGCATCCTACAGCGTTCGATGTCACACGCATCACCTGCGGGTGAACGCATCAGAGACAAATGATAATGATGTGTGCCGAAAAGTGGGTCATCAACGCACACTTGTACTTACGTCACACAGCGCACGCTCCCTACTGCTGATGTGATGCCACGCTAAAACAATCTTGACGGTCCAACGCTGCTGTACAAACACCACGGGCACGGCACGACCGCTCATCCCAGTTCAACTTGAAGAAGGAGGTGCCCGCTCGTCACGGTCCACCGAGAGAACAATATGATTGATGAACCCGATGATAAACAAACAAAATGTTTAAGGGAAAAAAAATGTGTTGTCAAAGGAGCCGACAAACATACTATGCGTGCGTAAAAACAAGAACAGATGAATGTACCGCCGAAACGCGGCGGAATAAGCAGCCTCTTTGAGAGAAACGAGAGCAGAAGAAACCCAAATGGAAAAATAGAGCCCAAAGATCGTACCCGGGACTTACCCAAATAATAACGTCAAGACTAAGCAACAAGCAAAAACACGATGAAGTTTAACCCCAACCCATGCGAAGCCGACAAGTGATCTATCGCCACCGACAAAGTCGTTGGCCACGCGTGAGGCAGACCCATTCGTCTTGCTACGATCAAAGGGGTCGACTCACGAGTGTTCTGTGGCGAAACACGCGTCTGGCCGACTCCGCCTTACTCCCGGCCCCCCTAACAGCTCTATTGATCGCCTTGTTAATTTTTTTTCGAGACCCAACCATTCCAACCTCCTTCCTTGCGCCATCCCAACTCCCCTCCTTGCACATTTGTTCCCCGACGGGAGCTTCTCGATACTCGCGGGGGGTCAAAGTCCTTCTGTTCAGAACGTCTCAGAGAGCCAACTCCTGCTTGTCTTCCTCAAGAGGGTTTTGTGTGCACAGGATCGTTGCTAGATACGATGATGCTAGCCCCGCAACGTCTTCAGGCACATACTCACTCGGTCCTGCTCGCAGCAGCGGTGGCGAACACAGACCTGCTCAGCCCTACTTTGGACACCGTCACATACGCAATAACGTCCCAGCAACAACTGCCGAGGTGAACCTTTCACCACATCCTTCATGCCGTTCGTAAATGAACCTGCTCAATCAAGCCGTAGGCCGCAGCTCGAGAGTGCAGCCAAGACATCATCACATCACATACAACTTTGTGCTTGAATGCGACGATTTCGTCGTCATGTACTCCAAAATATTCATAAAAATCATGACAAGACCAGGCTATGGTACCCCGCGATGCTGCCCCCTTCGAAGGGATGTCATACACACATGAGATATAACCAAATATATACCATAACAATATACAAGCGGACATTCGCGGCTGAAAGTGTGACAACCCTGTCATACACACCGCAAGCCAGAACGAAAGGTACAAACGAAGTTTTTTTCCGAATGCAGGGAGAGGTCACACCCTCGCATGATAAGGTCTGGCGGTGTTTCGTACCGATGATGAAGCGCTAAAAGCACTCCTCTATTCTAGCATTACTGTGGAGGCCAACAAACCAGCCTACGCAGGGAGTCGATAGCCTCCCGAGGCTGGCTTCCCGTGGAGCGAAAAAAACCAAATACCCCTGATGAAGTTAAAATAATATATCAGTAAAAAATGGTGGATAAACCGTTACTGCTCGGCATAGCCGCGCGATCGTGGCTCGCACTGCTCACATGCGTCCTCCCTGCTTACCCTACCCCCCCTCCCCCACACCCGGCCGCGCGCCTGTTGATGTGTCGGTGTCACTCGTACATCGTACACGCTAAGCTACCAGCCCGTCTAGACAGCGTGTAACCGCTACTACCTCCCCCCCACACACACAAAAAGATATCGACCGAACGAAAGTCAAAACATCAACATACCCCGGGACACGCGAGTTTCAAAAAACAGATGCCCTTCCGAGTTTCTTGACAACCACCCGACTTCGAGTGATCATGGTTGGCGCACCTCACCTGTGCCTTCCCACACGGTCGTGCCCCTCTTAGGGGTGTACGTGTACATTGTATCCGTTGAACCACCAACCCGTGTGGCCAGCGCGCAAAAATGCACCAAGGCTGCCCTCCCCCCATCCTCAAAACAACTCCACCAAACCAATAGCAACACCTTTGAGACCCCCCCCGAAACGCGAGCTGAGCAACCCGCCCGTCGCGTTCTGGCTTGGGCCCAATGAGGCGAGGGGTGCAAAGGCCGTTGAAAATTGTCACGGACGCCATGTTGCAGCCACGCACGGCAGGAGCAGCAGCGCACTCGGAACGTATTGCTGCATAAGCAATAGGCGGCGGCGCGACTGCTGCCTTGACTGCCTTGAGCTCGGTCTACACCCCGCCAAACGTCCCGTCGTTCTCGCGCTTGACGCCGCCGCCGTCCTCCTCCGATTTCGCGGCTGCGGTCGCCAGCAGAGCAAGGTTGCGCAACGCGTCGTGGCCGCCGCCGCCCTCCGGCCCCGCAACCGTTCCGCCGGCTCCACGCCATTTCGCCCCCATCCCTCCGTGCCCGTAGTTAGAATCTATTTCCACCGGGACCGGCCACCCTGACGCGTTGGACTGGATGGCCGGGGGAGGCCCGCTGTACGAAGATCTCCAGTAAACGGGGTACCCCTGTCCGGCCGCCTGCGGGCGCTGCTGCTGCTGCTGCTGCTGTTGCTGCAAACTCATTGCCACGTGCTGGTTGGCGCTGCTGCTCGCAATGCTGCTGCTGCTGCTGCTGCTGCCGCCGCCGCTGCCGCTGTCGCTTGATGCTGCGCCTCTGCCCGAGGGACGGTGGTGCCCCTGTTGAATTACTCCGGTGTCTGGACGAAAACGGCGACGACAGGGACCCCGTGAATTCAGAGCATGCGGGGCTTCGGAGCCAACGCAGAGGTACGTATAGTGGTTTTTCCATTCTTGATCCCGACAGCGGAGGAAAGCTACAGATGCAGTTCGGTTTTTCAATGGAAAAGACACCACCATCTGACCCAACCCTGCAACGGTGGGTTCGGTTCGAACGTTGGCCAATCAACAAGCACAACAAGACCCCGAGAAACTTCGATAGCAGCACACAAGATCCAAGGCTCTCTCCCGTACAACCTTCCAAAAATTACGCCCATCATGCCTCATCCGTGCTTGTTAGTATCACCCATCATGCCTCATCCGTGCTTGTTAGTATCAACTGCAACAACGCAGCGGGGATAAGAACCCCTCCCGGGCGCAGACCACCCGTGGGCGGGCCCACATTGCTGTTGTTGCTGTTGCTCAAGCGCCACCCGTCGAAGATACTCGTCGTGCCAGCGGTTGAAGCACTGCTCGGGGGTCTTTCCTCCGCCGACCGCGCAAGCCACCTGTCGAGAGACGGGTATTGAATGAGGCGGAGAAGAGACTTTGGGTAAAGAGCAGGGCGCATTGAGGTGGGCAAGAGGATGCGACAAACTGCACGCAGATTGCCGACAGTACATGATGTGTCTGAGACCGGTGTGTGCACGAAGTGATTTTGTGCTGTTTTGGGATGGGTTACCACCGAACGACACCACAAGTGCCCCGGTAACCCATCCGAAAACAAATTATGAAGCGGTTTGGTGTCTTGCTCGTTCGTGTAGTCGGCTTGGAGTGGGTGCGAGTTGCGTGACTCGCTTTCGCAGGCACTTTATGGATGTTAGGGCGGACCGAAACGATGGCAGCTAAGAAAGGCTCCCGTCACTATTAGGGAAGGCTGTGAAACAAACGGTATCAGTGAAAAGATCAATTTTTTGTGTGCAGTTGATGTGGATCACACAAGTACAGCATGCGCCGCCAATTGGACTACAGTTTTCGAGTGAGGCTCGTGCCTTGTTAATGGCCCAAGGCGAGCACCTGGTTCTGTCTTCTGTTTGGTGCTGGTGCGCCAACTAATAACTTCAGTCAGGCATTTCCCCCTGAAATCGCGAGGTTCTTGTGCCTTCTTCTACAACGACTGCCCAATACAGGACAGCCTTCATATTTTTTCGGGGATTCCGTAGTACACTCTACAGTATTGGTATGTAAAAGGCTAATAGCACGAGTAGATACAACGCAATTGCTTCACCACATGCATCCGCAACAGAGATATGTAGGCGGCCATAGCACGTGTAGCGATGAAGTAGCAATACCGCAATATGTTTCACCGCATGCATGCGCAACAGAGGTATGCACAGCCATCCTGAGATCTTACAAGACGACATGACTTCCTGGATCGAACGCAGACCCTCTGTTCCGCGACAAGTTTGAGGCACAAGCGTACGAAATGTGCATCAATGCATACAGAACGCGCCACCACTTAAGAACTTGACAGTTAAGAACTTGAAGGCTCATGAAATCCGAAACCTAACAAGTTGGCCATAACAACAGGTACTCCGTCAGGAAGGCTACACAAAAACCTACTTAGTCGCCGTGGGGGTACCTCGTAGACAAGTGAGAAACGAGCATAGGCCAAAATAAGAGTGTGTGGCGCATTCTGCAGTGGGATCTTGGAACGTGTGCGGGTTCGCAAGGAGTGAGCGCGAACGGTTGGAAATAGTGGACCAGTGTGTGGCGCATTCTGCAGTGGGATCTTGGAACGTGTGCGGGTTCGCAAGGAGTGAGCGCGAACGGTTGGAAATAGTGGACCAAGTAGAACAAAGCGATCTAGATGTAATGGGGATCCAAGAGACATGGGAATTGAAGGATGGAGACGTGAAGAGCAAACTAGGGAAATACCGGTGGGTAGGGAAGACAAGAAAGGGCTTAGACCCGAAGAAAAGGGGGGAGGGGAGAGTCGGATTCCTAGTCAAGGAACACTTGTTTGACGTGGTGGAAGTAGTGGTGAAAACGGAGTTCGAGGAAAGCCTATGGCTTAAAATACCTGGGGAGCGGGGAGAGAAAGATTTGTTTCTAGGGAACGTATACGTACCACCGTCGTTGAAGAAAGTCGCAAGCAAGGCGAAGGAGAACTTTGGACAAATTGGGGAAGATGCCCAGAGGTTCAGTAGGAAGGGACAAGTTGTCATGGTGGGCGATTTCAACTCCAGAGTAGGGAAAGTTTCCAGTAGAGGACAGGCGATCGGGCAGCACAGAGAAGACAAAGTGAATGACAACGGAGTGAGGATGCTTGAATTCTTGGGGAAGCAACGAGCTGATGGTGTTGAACGGTAGAAGGGAATGCGACAAGCCGGAGTTCACCAGACAAAGGGCAATCTGCAAGGAGTACTCGGTTCTCGACTACATCCTGGTAGATACGGGGAGCACACAGATCCCAGAGTTGCACGTAAGTGCGATAGAAAATAGGCTCGACCGACCATGGGCAAAGACCGTCCAAGCTAGGAAGGCGGAGAGTAAGAATCAGAGGAAAGTGTTCCGGTGGAAAGTAGGGCGCTTGGGAAACCGGGGCACACGGGCTGAATTCCAGTGCCTGGTAGTGTAGAACACTTGCGGAATTTGCTAAGCAGCATTGAAGACGGACATGTAGACGTACAAGCAGCAGGGGACAGAGTGAGTGAAGGGTGGGAGTCCGTCGTGAAAGCAACGGCAGAGAGAGTAGTGGGAAAGAAGGTGGTACGATGTGGCGTGTCGGTCCAGTAGTGGGATGACGAGCTGAAAGAAGGAATAGGGGAACGTAGAGAAGTCTTCAAGCAGTACCTGAGTGAGGGGTCTGAGGGGAGTTGGGAAAAGTACACGGCCAGGAGGAAACAGGTGAAGGGACTAGTGAAAAAGAAGAAAAAGTGTGTATTTGGGACGAAGTAGTGCAGAAGGCCAACGGAGGCCTGGAGGGGAACGCCAAGCAGATGTGGGAAGGGATTAGTGGGATGGTACAAAAGACCGCGCAAGGGGGGGATACAGGGGTAGCAACTTTGCGAGGTGTGGACGGTGGAATAGTCAGCAGCGGGGAAGGAAAAGGGGGAGTTCTATCAGGACACTACAAGAGACTTGGAGTGTCGTCGGAGAAGAAGCTTTTAAGAAGGAGGTGGACGAATGGGCCAAGGAAGAAGAAGAAACATCGAAGGCAGACGTTGGGAACGTAGAGCTAGAGAAGGAGTTCACTGAGGACGAGGTGGAGACTTGTGTGAACAAGCTGCAGCGCCACAAAGCAGCAGGGGCGGATGGGATAGTCAACGAGTTCATGAAATTTGGTGGGAAGGGGATGATCCACCTGATGGTACTCCTGTACAACTGGGTGTGGAAAAACGAACATGCGCCAAGTAGATGGAGGGAAGGGGTGGTTGTCAACTTGCATAAGAAAGGAGAGAACACTGACCCAGGAAACTACTGGGGGATCACACTGTTGATTACAGTAGGAAAAGTGTTGTGTAAGCTGCTGAACGATAGAATAGTGGGAATATTGGAGAAGGAACTTATGATAAGTGAGGGCCAGGCAGGTTTCCGAAAGAAGAGGGGGTGCGTAGACCACGCATTTCACGTTAGGGACAATCATCCAAGGTAGAAAGAGGGAGGGGAAGCCGACGTACTGCTTCTTCCTGGACGTGAAAAAGGCATACGACACAGTATAGAGAAAATCGCTGTAGAAACATTTGTCCAAGTACGGGATCAAGGGGGAAATGTGGAGAGTGCTGAAGAAGATGACAGAGTGTACAAAAGCGCGGTCATGCTAGACGGAGAACTGTCTAAATTCTTCAACATTGAACACGAGGCCCCACAAGGTTGCACTTTGTCCCCAACATTGTTCCAGGTGTTCATCAACGATCTGTTGAAAGGCGTACAACCCTAACCCTAACCCTAACCCTAACCCTAAGTAGAGGTAGGGGAAAGCACGGTGTCAGGAATGCTGTTTGCTGATGACTTTGTTGGGGTGCCTGACACCCCTGAGGGACTGCAAATGCAAATTAATGCGGCGAAGGAGTTTACTGATAAATGGAGATTGTCTGCCAACGTTAAGAAGAGTGCCGTCATGGTATGCAATGAGGACAGGGAGGAACCAGTAAAACATACCAGGTAGATGGAAGTGGGGGATCGAGGAGCTTGCAGTAGTGGACCAGTACACATACCTCGGAGTAGAGATCGCAAAATGCTGCTAGTGGAATGTACACATGTCCAAAGTAGCGGAAAAGGGCAAAGCATGAGCAGGGAAGCTGCACCCAATACTCGCAAACCGGCACCTTGATACACGCATCAAAATTGACGGTGTTGAAGAGCGTAATCGTACCGCCGCTAGAGTACGCCGCAGAAGTATGGGAAGGAAATAAGAAGGTAGTGAAAGACATCGAGGCGGCGAAGATGAAAGCAGCGAAAGTCATCCAAGGATGCTCCAAGCGCACAAGTAATGCAGCCGTCAGGGCAGAACTGGGGATCCAATTCCTACGATCGGGACGAGACGCAAGGAAGCTGACATAGCAGTATCGCATGTGCGGCATGGGAGAGGAAAGGAGAGGTTGCCGAGAATAGCCTGGGAGGCGAAGTGGGAAAACAAGAACAGGGGTAGACAACCCATGGAGTGGGTCAAGGCTGGGTACGGAGGGTCTAAAAGGCTTCAAGGAGAAGATATCTGTTGCTTTTGCCGAGAG